TAAGTCAAATCCCACATTTGGCTTCCACCGAATTTCACAACATGGAGGAAACAATTTTTACACGAGATTCCAGGAGCCTAATTTTATACGCCCTCTCACCCTGGTATCCTCGGGTCCAAGGAGTTGACATTAGTTGTCTTCCCTATACATGCAGTTATAAAAATGCTTTGTCACTCAATTGACTTTATTAGTGTTTTTTTTCTGAGGGAGATCTGTATCTTCTTGTTCGAAGACTAACCACATTGGCACTTAATTTCCTTCCAATCCTGCCCTAGTTGAAATCCAAAAGAAAGTTGTTCCCTTGATGGAGTCAGGCATTTCTGGAGTGGTTTTGCCCACCAGCTGTGGCTCCAGGTTATCCAGTCGACCTTGGTACACTTCAATGAACAGTACACTAAGTAGCCAGGTCACCAGGGTGGGGACAGACAACTCCATCGTTACCCTAAGCTCTCCAGCTCACTTTCTGGCATTCAAATGCCACAAAAATAAGAGATTTACCACTAATGACAGTCTCTTTGTCCCTAACTCCGCCATGCCTACAGCCTCCTCGCATTTTAATTAGGGCCAACAGTGCATTGCCATTCCAGGCTGAAACCCAGTGCTCCCGGGGCTTTATTCTTAGGTGGCACAGCTTAGAAGAGAAATTCTTTTGTTGTTTGCACTCTATCTGCCCCCAAAACTGCAACGAGTGGAGGCATGGGAACTGGAGGGAGGAAGAGGAGCATCCCGGAAAAACATTTCTCCACCCGCCTACTCGTGTGTGTGCACACGCAGGCTACCTTTTGTTTCCTAACTTCGCTTTGCAAGCCAGGATGTTAAGGTGTGGAACAGCTGGCTGAGTAAGCCTCCACTCTGCTTCCAGGAATGCAGACCAGGACTGACGCTAATTGGTCCCATTTATCCTCCGTTATTGTCCTCCCACCTATTTCTCCTCAGCCAAGATCATAATCGTCTCATAAAAGGATATGCATAGAAAAGCTGCATGGGACACGTCCAAGATACACATTTTCCCTTTCTCTTGACGCAGAGATGTGTGATCAGAAGTGCTGGGCATTTAACAGAGGCAAACGGGACACGGGGAACAGCATGGGAAGAAAAGGAGAAACTGCAACTACATTATGGGAAGAAGTTAGTTAATTCTGGTGATACTTTTGTGACTAGGGAAATGGCTGAAGCCAAACATCGGTTCCCATGGAGCCCTTTTTTTCTGGCTGAATCTCACAACCTGCTACCTATTCCACCGTTCAGATTCCAAATTTTTGCAGGTTTAAATACAACAAACGTCTTGCTTGCTCAATTCCATTTTATTCACGTGTTATCCATACTAAAAAATGTTTACTTGATATACTAAAGCCCAAATAGGTCCAGAATCAGACTGATAGAAATTAATATGCTAAGAGAAGCATTTTTTAGAGTGGGAAAATCAGAAACTGATGGATAGTTCATTTCTATATTGTCAAATTAGACTAAAAAGCACCAGACAGCCACTCGCTCATTTTACTGTGAGCTGGTCACTAAGTTTTTCCCAAGTAATACAGAAAGATCTGATCGGATCACTGGGGAGGTACAGGGAGGGGCCATAGGAGGAGGTTGCCTGAGGCAATGGATGGGATTGGCTGAGAAGCTGGATGCCTCCTAAGGCATTGGAATGATGAGACAGAAGATTTAAAATAAAAGGAGGGTGGAGACTGGCTCTCTGGCTCTCTTCCCCCTGGCTGCCTGGATGATCCTGCTGCAGCTGTCTGTGGACAGTATTTTGGATGGGAGAAGAAACCCTGGGTGCAGCCTAGGATCAGGCTGGCCTGGCAGAGGGTGGAGGGTTATTCTTCTTTGGGTCTTCTAGAGGGGACAGGCTCTGAGGCAGAAGCCTGACATTCTTCCAAAACTGTGCAGCTTTTGTATCTTATGCTGTTTTAACTCGTAAACTAATCCTATAAAAATAAGACAATTAAAAACTAACAGCGGGAATAATAGGGGAACTCAGCAGTTAAAGATTTTAGCCTTAATTGATAGGCTTAAGTAACTAATGCAGGTGGAAAGCTGTTATTCCAAAAGTGTGTAGCCGTTGAAGAAAGACTCCTTTCCTTTACCACCAAACCTTTGCCTCTGGAATTTTGCCCAGAGGGTGGTGGTGGGCAGCAGAGCCCCACTTGCCTTTCAGTAACACAAGTGGGCACCACTAATCTAGGGTAACACTGAGTGAGAGCTTTGGTGGAGACTTATGGGCAAATGAAGGGAAACATACAAAAATGTTTTATTGGAGCTCGGGCCAGGATTAGGAGAGAGGTGTGTAGCAATCATGCAAATGTTGATTGGATCTTGTTTTTAAGAAGTATTTGTTCAAGACATTTTTTGCATTATTTTCATTTAAAAATTTTTAAATAATTTTGATTTTTAAATTAATTTTTTAATTTAAAAAACTACACCCGATTTTGTTTTTCTAGATAAGCATTTTTCTTCAAGACAACCATTATACTTTGGTATGGAGCAAAAATATTTTATGCATATTTCCCAATTTGTCACAGAGAATATTAAAGAAATATACTTAAAAATCAAGATTTAATAAAATTAGTTTTTACTATTTTATCAAAGATATTAAGTGAAAGTGACTTTTAATATACGTCTGCAGGGTCAGAAGTTCTGTTCACCATTGTTTTTATGCCATCAATACAGATGCAATGCACTGAAAAATGCAAATAACATCTCAGAATTATTATAAACATCGTTATAAATTCACAGACCCCTTGAAAAGGTCTTGGGAAACCCCATGGATCTATGGACCACACTGTGAGAACTGCTGCCTTAAAGGAAAAAGTTTGAACACGGAGTCAAAACCCTTATCCACAACAAGCTAGGATCTCGGTCAAATGGAGGCAATGTAATCATGGCTATCCCCAGTTAGTTTTGCAAAACTATGTGGGGAAGAGTTGAAGCAAATTGACTCATCAGTCACATATAGAAAGTTCTGAGCAATTCTGAGGCTAAAGGTAAGGCATGAACAAGAGGTGAAAGAATTTAAATGCTATGAATATAATCAGTGGCCTGAAGGCATTGCCATTTTAGGGCAAATGAGTGGAGAAATACCACCCCACCCCTCCTTTCCCTCCCTGTCTCCGAGGAACAAGGAGCAGAGGACAGAAGATCCGGGCAAATACCTACCACTGAACATGCCTAGGCTGTTACAAGACCTTGGGGCCTTCCTGCCTGCCTGGTATTGAAACTTTCTCCTGACACTTCCTAGCATACAGCCTTGGGCAAATTCCCAAACACTCTCTTATTGGTCTCCTCACATGTAATATGAATATAATATCAATCTCTTCCTCATATGATTGTGGTAAGTAGTACCTGAGGTGGTGTACAAAGCATTGAGCACAATGCCTGAGAGTGTAGGCATTCAGTAACAAAAGTTATCTTATTAAAAATAAGAAACATACTCCTGTACTGATTCACTGCCCAGCAGCATTCAGTGACTTCTGCCACACGTATAAACGCTTCGTCAGCCCACTGTCTTGCCTGGGTTAGGTGTTCAGTAAAGGTTACTTCCTCCCTCCAGCTGGATGGGGGAGCCTGTCTGGACCTGCCACTTTATCCATGCTGCTAGGAGTATAGAGGCTTCTCACCAACAGGACAAATCTGATGCTTAACTAGGAAAAAGCATACTTTAATGGGCAAATGAGTACATAAAAGTGGACGTGTTTATTATAGGGTAGAATCGTGCTTCATCTTTTCCTAAAAATTGTTTTTTTTTTTACTGCGGTTAAAAACACATTTGAAAAACAAAGGGATTGTTTTTAAAAATTAAAACTTGCAAAACATTTAACTCACCAACAGAAAAACTTAATCAACCTTGCTGTTTGCTATTCTCGGTGGCAGACAAAATAACAGCCCCCACAACGATATCCACATCCTCATGCCCAGAACCTGTGACTATGACTGACAGCTTACTTGCCAAAAGGGACCTTACAGATGTGATTAGATTAAAAACCCGAGATGGGGCATTATCCAGGATTATGCTGGTGGGACAATGTAATCACAAGGGGCCTCGAAAATGGAGAGGGAGGCCGAAGTCAGTCAGAGGAAGGTGGGACTGCGGAACGAAGGGACAGAGAGAGGCACGCTGCTAGCTCTGGAGGCGGAGATAGGGGCCACGTGTCCGGGAGCCTGTTTGGCCTCTAGAAGCTGGAAAGTGGAAGGAAGCACATTCTCCCCTAAAGCCATCTGACAGGAACGCAGTCCTGACAACATCTTGATTCTAGCCAAGTGACATTCATATCAGTCTTCGTAACTACAGGATTGTACAATAGTAAAACAGTGTTGTTTAAGCCAGTAGGTTGGTGGTAGTTTGTGACAGCAGTAGAAAGAAAACTACTATAATCTCTAACGTTATCCAGTCACCCTCGGTAGGCCTGCACGTGCAGTGAAGTACGTAGCCAGGTTACCGCCGTGAGGACTAGCAGCTCCTTTTGCTTCACTAGGCCCCGCAGTGCAGCTTCTGGCCATTTAAATCCCACAAAATAAGGTACTGAACATGAATGACAGTGCCCACCCTTGAAGACTGGGATTCAAGAGATGTGAGACCTAAGAATATCCCTATTTAACTGGTTATTCTGTTCGAGATGGTTGGTGGTCCACACTCTGAGACACATTCATTTCTATTTGTAAGTCGTTTACAACTTAGGTGCTGAGCCAATGTTGTTCTCATTCCTAATAGATAAATAAATATACATACTTCCCAGACAGGTCAACAACGAGGGACAAGGGTAAAAGGCTGGAAATGGTCCAGAACACACAGATCCTTCCATATGCTTCTGTTAACAAAAACTATTTGTAGAATTAAGCCAGGTGAGATCTCTGCCTACTCTCTCCTATGTGACCAGTGCTTTAGAGCTCTGGAACATGTCAAGTGGAATCCCGGCGGCCTTACACACCTCGCATGGAAAAGCATTCCTGATGAGCACACACCTAAGCCAGAACCCTTCTTAGCCTCCCACCTGTCCCACCTGTTTCTTTAGGAGGCAGAGATGTGCTGGCCCAGGGTGTGTCGTCTTCAAATTGAACCCAGTTCCTGATGGCGGAAGCCAGGTCAGGGGAGGGCTGCTCAGGGCTCCCAGGAGGAGAGGCAGCTTCAGAGATGAGACCCATCTTCTCAGAGGAATCATCCTGCTCCGAGTGGGAAAGGTCCTGGGAGCCTCCGTCTGCCGCATGGTTCCCTGCAGAGGAGCTCTCCGACTGATCCGAGGAAGACGACAGTCCCGGGAAGTGCTCTCCGGTGCCCCCTGAAACAGAAACCAGAGAGCATGGTCACATCACAGGAGGAGGGCCGCTCTTCAGAACTGTCTCGCTCTGGAAACGAGGACAGTGGTGGAAAAACAAAGCGTGGGCAAGAGGTGATCTCAGCACTCACCATCACAGTGAGTGAGGTGAGAGTAAAGAAATAGCCATGGCCATCCACCTTTATGCTAAAGGCATGGTTACCTGATCATGTGTAAAACTATAACCTGCCTTGGCTGGTGTGGTTCAGCTGGTTGGAGCATTGTTCTATAAACTGAAAGGTGGCGGGTTTGATTCCCAGTCAGGGCACATGACTAGACTGTGGGCTCAGTACCTGGTCGTGGCACATACAAGAGACAACCGATCGATATTTCTTTCCCTCTCTTTCTCTCTCCCTTCCCCTCTCTCTAAAATCGATAAGCATGTCCTTAGGTAAGGTTTAAAACAAGAAAAAACAAACAAACTATGACCTCAACATGACCACTGCAATATCTGGGCAGGCTGAGACTAGGGTATTCTCATTCACTATTCTTATCCCAGCATCTACTCCAGGACTTGGGGGTCACAAAACAAAAATGTCTACAGAGGCCAAGCAAGAAATATAACCAAGTCAAAGGAGAAAAGCAAAAGGCAATAGGGACTGGTGGAGAGTATGGCAGAACTGGAGAGCTTCTGAATGGACCACACATTTCAATTCAAACTTAGGCTCTGTGCTACCCTGACTACACGCACATACAGACCACCAGGTGCAAACATCACACCGATCAGCCGAATGTGGCAGGGGTTCTTCCCCTTGCTTTGTGTCGCTTTATTGGTCCTGCAATATTTAACAGCTTTCAAATAACTTTTTAAACCATATCCTGGTTGTGGTGGTGAGGACACAAATCTATACATGGCAAGTTCATCAACTGGACGTCAAAAGTGATCAATTTTACTGTATAAAAGCTTAAAAACTAGCCAAAGAAAATAATGAAAGCCTTTAGATTAGTACTGCCCATAAATAAACAAACAAATAAAACACATATATAATTTTAAATGTTCTAGTAGCTACATAAAAAAAGTAACAAGAAATAGGCAAAACTAGGTTGAATTATGTTTCCAACCCACTAGGTTGGAAATTTGTAATTCCAACATGTAATTGATATAAAGATTGTTAATGAAATATTTAACTTGTACTAGGTCTTCGGAATTCAGTGAGGGTATTTTACCTTTATAGCACGGTTCAATGCAGACTAGCCACACTTCAAGGCCTCAGTGGCCACCCGGCTCCCATATTGGAAGCACACCTGTGAACTCACACTTTCCAGGTGTTGTACGTGAGGCTGGGCTGATTTTAGTCAGCAGGGGCAGCTGCAGTAGAACAGAACCAGCTGACAGGGCTCTGCAAATCCTACCTTGCATCCTGCATCCTACCTTGACCTTCATCCCTTAGCACCAGTTCCCTAGAATTCAATTTAGTCATCTCCATCATGATCATGGATGACAATTATTGAGCTCTTTCCATGTGCCAGGCTCTCTTCTAAGCTCTTTACGTACATTAATTCATTTAACCCTCACAACCACTGAGCGGAAGATACCATGACTATCCCTACTGCCCAGATGGACTGCCACATATATGTTACTTACATGATCTATCTAAGGGCGTATCGCTCATCTGCAACAGAGTGATGATTTGAGCCCAAGCAATCTGGGTCTAGAGCCTCTCATTCTTAACAACTACACTTCAAAAATTGAAAAAGTCCACCCTCGTGGTGTGGCTCAGTTTGTTGGGCACCACCCCGCAAAGCGAAATGTCGCCAGTTTGATTCCTGGTCAGGGTGCATGCCTGGGTCGTAGGTTCAATCCCCGTTGGGACATACATGAGAGGCAAATGACTGAGGTTTCTCTCTCTCTCTCCCTTCCCTAGGCTCTAAAAATAAATAATTAAAATCTTTTTTTAAAAATTTGGAAAACATCCAAATTGCTGTTGAGAGTAACAACCCAAAAGTCTGCATGTCAATGCACGTCTGCATGTCAATGCACGTCTGCATGTACACTGTAAATATAAAGTTGATGCTCTTTGGGAGAAAGCAGCCAATATGTGGTGCTTCCAGGCCTTGTTTGGGGCTGCCAGGGCCTAAGATGCTTCCTCCAGGTTTCTAGAAGAATCCACGGAAAAGTCATAGCAAGCAGGTGTGGTTCTTTACCAGTCATTCGCTTAGAAAATGAAAGCACTCCTTACCCTCAGAAGGGACAGGAAAGAGTGGATCCTCATTGAAAGAGACCCACTCCGACTGCTGGGTAGCGATGACATGGTCCAAGGTCGTCATGCTAGGAAGGTGCTGGTCATTTTCACAGTGCCGACCACAAGCAGACCCCGGAGTAACGTCTGGGGTGGGGTAAGGGTATGGTGGGTTGGCAGACTTGAGCGTAGGGTCCGTTGTGGTGGTCTTGCAGGAGGCAGGATGTAGACTGATTAGCCCCTCTTGCCTTTGGTTCATATGCCAAGCAGAAATCTGTTTAGAAAATAATAATAAAAATTTCAAAGACTCTCACCACATTATAACCAATCCACACAGGTCTAGGTTCTCAACAACAGCACCCCATGAGGAGGTCTGGGTGGTGCCCACTGGCCTTAGTTTTCTGTGAGCCTGTCTTGTCCTGCTTCTCATAGGGAAATATTTGACTTTATCATCAAGATCTCCGCATATGACTTCACAACAGACTTGCAAGTAATCACATACATTTAAGCAGTTATTTCTCCCATTTCCCCCAATTATTTTTTGGAAATACTTTTAACTATAATATAATGCCATCAATATAAAACAAATATTAAAATTGTTTCTTTTACCAAATGGTGAAATAAAAACACACATTATGTCCCATTGAATCGGTGTAGTTTCTTGCCTTAGGCAGGTAGCTCTTTGCAAGCCTGAGTTAAATCTTTGGCAGAAACCCAACTGTCTCCAGATGGTATCTCCAAGCATGGTTTACCAATCAAGAAAAATAGAAATGGAGTCATTTTGTTCATTTGGAGTAAGGAGGGTAGGGCATTTTTGCTTTAGTGAAAAATGTGAGTTAAACACATTTTTATTCTAGGCCCACGTGAGTTAGCACAGGAAGAGTCTAGCCTTTACTCACACTGAAGTTATGTTCTATGTACAGAGAAGGATACTGAACACACTTACAATTTTGTTTGTAGTATTAATGTCCTTTTACAACTTCAACCTAGCTCTTGCTTTTATAATGAGGTACTAAAATCTGAATTAATGCAAAATTCATGTTTTTCTGCAAAAGAGCTTCTAACCACCTTGTACAATATCAGTTCTTATGAACTCCTACTCACAACAGTCGTTTTAGTCGAGAACAATTGAACTCATAGTCTTCTAACTGGTGCACAATAAAAAGAAAATGTTGAGGAAATTTTATTAGAGGTTATTATTTGCAGTAAACAATCTATGCTGGGGAAAATCAGCATAGAAACATTAACAGCCTTTGCTTTTTTGGTAATTAAAACAATTAGTTTTGTTGTATGGTACTTCCTAAAAACAACTAATGTTTGTATAGAATTTATAATTTTCAGGGACCTATTTTCACACCATAATTCACTTGATTCAATAGTCATTTTAGTTTGGTAAGACAGGTATTAATACCCTTTTCTTACAGATGAAGAAATCTAGCCTGAAATAAGTGGTTTATCCAACACTTCTGATATTTCCAGGTCCTTGTTTGATTCCCCAGTTCCTAAGATGTTTCCTGCAGGTTCTAAGTGAAAGAATTCTCACATCCCAGGGCAGTAACAGATCAACTCTTTTCCCCCCATAGAGCCACTTCAAAGAATGATCAAGTTAGTTGCACCAATCTAGGCAGTGACAGATGCAACTCTTGAACCCAGGTCTTTTGATGCCAAAACATTCTAATCTTTGGGTCATAGCCACAAAAAAGTATTAGAAAATACACAACTACCACCCAACTGAAGCAATTTACAAACATCAGTGACAATGGAACCATAATGAAACGATCTGTGAAACTCCGAATATGGAAATCTGCCAGGGTACCCCAGCTGTACAGAGAATGCAAAGCCCAGAAATCTGTCTTCCAAGTCCCTCAACTAAGATCGTTACCAGCCATGGACCAGACCTGTGAAAACCGTCTGGAGAGTGCAGTGTTCTCCTAAAAAAACCACACAGAGCCCAGGCCCAAAGGGCTGACTTCACAGGCTTCTCCCACAAAGCCTTTCGCAAGCCCAAATGTTCAAGTCACTCAATGTGGTAATGGCTGTGGGCCAAAATAAGACAGTAAAATTTAAGAGTCAGATGCCTCCTCTCCCAACAATAGCAACATGTAAACCAGGTCCAAGAACAATAAAAGAGCCACAACACATGTCCATGTGCTGACACATGCAACATCATAGCTCAGTGGGGAAAACATCCGGCAGATCCCGTGATGATGAATCCACCAAAGTTCACAGGAGGACTGTGGGTGGGGGGAGGCGTCTGGGGAAGTGGAAAAGGATGGAGGTAATGGGGTAAGTACCTGGGAATTTTAGGGCCCGAGGGATTTAAAGACCAACAGTCCAGCTCTCCAGTTTTACAGATGAGAAAACACAGGCCCAGGGAAGTCAGGAGCAGCGATAGGAACTGAGAGCATGGGCCCAGAAGTTAGGTTATCTGGATTGCCGTCCTCAGTTCACCCCTGAACAGCAGGAATAACAAAATTCACTTAATAATTTCAAGGATTAAATAAGATAACACACACCAGTGCTTAGTGCAGGGAGTAACAAACCCTCCGGACCAGTGATGATGATGATGATGATGATAGCAGGGGGGCCTCATCGAGGGCTTACTATGTGCCAGGCCTCTTTCCAAGCTTTCGATGAATATCAGCCACAGCCACCCCCGCTGCTGTTAAATGACTCGCCCAACGTCACATGGGTCATTAATGAGAGTCTTGGGACTAGAAGGCAAATTTCATGAAAGCACTCCACATTCTGGTTTTAGCAACTTCCCTTTTCAAACATTTTTAGAGCAGTTCTAGATGCTAAGGGGAGTCGGGCTCTTAATCTCCTCTTTACAGATACAGGGGCACAAACCAAGGAACCATGACTACCAATCAAAAAGTATGAATGAAAGAAGAGCCCCAAAGGTCTACCTACCACTCTTAACTCACAAATCTGAGATGCAGACATGGGTTGGTTAGAGATCATGAGTAGTTCCAAGCCTGGTGGAACACGTTTATTACAGGGAACCCTCTATCATAAGCCCATGAATTGGATTCGAGGTATTTACCATGATACAGCCACATCATCCAACAAGCCGTCGGACGCCAGACCGTGAGGAATGCTGTGCCAGCAGCTGGCAACCGAGGAACCCAATAATTTTGAGGCTAAGTTCACACTGGAATTGGCTTCTCTTTAAAAACCTCACCCCGTTTTTAGAATGTGAATCATAAAGTGAGGCTTACAATCACCACAAATGAGCAGTGACTCAACCAGCAGCAGAACTGACCAAGAGACACTAAAAACTTTATTGACACCTTCAGGCTGCCACTTCGGAGAGAAGTTTCTTTCTTAGCATCCCTTACGCACTAAAATTTGGGGGTGGAGAATGCAGTTGGCTGACAGGACGGGAGTCATAGAAACAGATTTGTTTCTGTCCATCCTGTCCTATGCATTCAGGAGCCCTGTGGGTCCGGAAATGCACCAGGCTCCCTTTGACAGGTGGAGATACTAACCACTATACTAACAAGGAGTTGTTGTTACCAGGCACCCTTTGAGATAGTGGCTCTCCAGCAGTCTGCAATCTAGCTGGCGAGATGAAGATACATGGGAGCAAACTCAAGAAATCAGGAATAACTGCCTGTTGGAGGATACACTAGAAATGCTGGTTAGCCACAGAGAGATCTGCAAGGGCTGGTCTCAATCAGTCTCATGAGAGCTGCGATGTCCACTGAGGAAATGTGGGGACAAAGGACAGGTGGCCTTCACAGCTGAGAAGATGAGCTCAGTGGGAGAGGAGGGGAAGCTGCTGAAGGTTTAAGACTGCAGAGTGACTCAAGAAGTCTGTCCAGGGGAGATTCACTTTTCTCAGGCTCTGTGGAGCAGGAGTTTGGTGATGGAAACTATTGGCCACTACAGGACCTCAGGGTGTCCCAAAAGTTGGGGGTCAGCATCATTAGGAACAGGTACTAGGTACTGTGCTGGGCCCATTCAGGGCCTGAGGGTTCAAGGAAGAACAGGACAGCATCGCTGGGGGCCTCAGTAGCTTACAGTAGATTGCAGGGAGCTATGACAGCAGGCTTTCTATTGATAGGTTATCCATCAAAGCACTAAACAGCAGACAGTAAGGGCTTTAAAGATACTGAGGGCCCTCGAGGTAGGCGGTCAAGAGCTACACCTTAAAGAGGGGAGGGGAGAAGGCGTCTTAAGGGAGAACAGGAGCGGTCTGGTAGGCAGTTTATCTGAAGAGGGTGGGAGCGGTACTGGATGCGCCGGGAAAGGGGATGTTGGAACAGTGACAGCTCTGCATTGCAGAGTGAGTTGGAATTCTTGAAACTACTCCTTCCTTTTCCACTGCCAATACCTGATTCATGCCCCTGTTGTCTCTCTCATTCAGAAAGATACTAGCCGCTGATCAATCTCCCTGCCTTCAGCACCATCCCTTCCAACCACTCTGTGCCAGAGTGGCCGTGTTCAAACCTGAAAATAAATGCCCAGGCTCCTTTCCACTTTATGTCAGCCAACCAGAGTCTGTGTGTGTTGCTCACAGCCAAGAACTCTGATATATGGTAACTTTCCTTGACTCCCACTAACCCCACTTGCCCCTTACCCATCATGTTCTCTGTATCCTGATAGTTCTTACCTACACACATTTATCAGATTATAATAAACTCACTTGCAGATGTGGCTATCTGCCAACTAGCATGTGCACTCCTCCAGGAAAAGGACTGAGTCTTTTTCTTGTGGATGTTTTCCAACTCTTAGAACAGGGTCTGGAATTTTGTAACTGTTTGTGGAATTGATGGTTGAATGAATAAATAAATGAGTGAATGAACAAATGAATTGTTTTACCACGTAGTAGGTAGCATCTTCAAGTCTTTTAAGCCAGTAAATGTTTTAGGAAGGTTAATTTAAACACTATGTATAAGGAAGCTGGAGAGATGATCCAGATATATGGAAACACATCCCCTCTTTCTCTTTGATCTAAAACTGTACTATTCAATTCCGTTACAGTAGCCACTAGACACAACTAACTATTGAAATGTGGCTTGTCCAAACTGAGTTGTTTAAGTGTAAAATACATGCAGATTTCAAAGAGTACAAAAGTGTGTAAAATATCTATTTAATAATTTTATATTGGTTATCTGTTAAAATTATCATATTTTGGACATGTTGGGTTGAATAAAATATATTGTTAAAATTAATTTTACCAGTTTTTTTAATTTACTTTATTTAAACTATATTTTATTGATTATGTTATTACAGTTCTCCCATTTTCCCCTTCATTCCCCTCCAACC